TGCTGGGCCTGGGAAAGCAGTCAAAGATGGCCCAAAGTCTTGGGAATCTGCAACCACGTGGGATACCCGGAGGAAGTTCCTGGCTCCTGGCTTCAGATCAGCGCAGCACTGGCCATTGCTGTCACTTGGGGAGTGAATCATCAGACAGAAGATCTTCCTCTCTGTCTCTCCTCCTCTCTGCATATCTGACTTTTTAAAAAAAAAGATTTATTTATTTTGGGCCCGGCGCCGTGGCGCAAGTGGTTAAAGGTCCTCACCTTGCACGCCCGGGATCCCATATGGGCGCTGGTTCTAATCCCGGCAGCCCTGCTTCCCTTCCAGCTCCCTGCCTGTGGCCCGGGAAGGCTGTCGAGGACGGCCCAAGGCTTTGGGACCCTGCACCCGCGTGGGAGGCCTGGAAGAGGCTCCTGGCTTTGGATCGGCATAGTATCGGCCCGTTGAGCTCACTTGGGGAGTGAATCATCGGATGGAAGATCTTCCTCTCTGTCTCTCTTCTCTGTATATCCGCCTTTCCAATAAAAAAAAAATTAAAAAAAAAATAAAATAAATCTTTAAAAAAACCGATTTATTTATTTTTATTACAAAGTCAGATAGGCCACAAGCAGGGAGCTGGATGGGAAGTGGAGCTGCCGGGATTAGAACCAGCACCCATATGGGATCCCTGTGCGTTCAAGGCGAGGACTTTAGCTGCTGGACCACATCGCTGGGCCCTATATATATGACTTTGCAATAAAAATAAATAAATGTTTTAAAAAATAGAAGAAAAATATTTTTTCTTGTTATTCTGTAATTATCTAATCAGTAACCATCTCATACCTTATATGTTCATTCTTTTTCTTAATCTTTTATTGTTAACCCCTGTTTGGGTATTGTTCATTGCTGTGGGGATCTGCAGTTTCTCTGTTTTATTCAGGGCCCTTTGCCCAGTTTGGTCAATTTATTTTGCATACAGCTTTCTAGATCTTTCATTTTTAAAAACTCCTATATTATATTCAAAATCATATTCAAAAGCCCAACCAAGATTGAAATAAAAAGTAGCATTGTTTTCGGGCACTCTTTTTTTTTTTTTTAAGATTTATTTATTTTTATTGCAAAGTCAGATATATAGAGAAGAGGAAGAGAGACAGTGAGGAAGATCTTCCGTCCAATGATTCACTCCACAACTGACTGCAATGGCTGGTACTGCGCTGATCTGAAGCCAGGAACCCAGACTTCTTCCAGGTCTCCCATGTGGCTGCCGTCCTCAACTGCTTTGCCATGCCACAAACAGGGAGCTGGATGGAAAGCGGGGCTGCTGGATTAGAACCGACGCCTATATGTGATCCTGGTATGTTCAAGGCGAGGACGTTAGCTGCTAGGCCATGGTGCCGGGCCCTGGGCACTCTTTTTTAAAGATTTATTTATTTGTTTGAAAATCAGAATTATTGTGATGGTGTCGGGGTGGGGGAAAAGCCATATATCTGGAATGATCCTGAGCTCTGGGGCCTGAAGCACAGCATGGGTGTGGGGTTGTTGAGGAAGAGGAGGCAGAGAGGCCAGGAGGCAGCTGTTGACTGTGCGGTGCCCTTCAGGGAAGGGAAACCACCATGATCCGCTGGAGACCACTTCTTCCAAATCTTGCCTAACACTCCACCTCCTGCTGCTGTTTAGTCCCTGTGGGTGTTTGGGTCGGGAAAGGGGTAACAGTGATGGGCCCCGCTACTTCCCCTCCCTGGAGTCCAAGTGGCTTCCCAGGGTGCATGTCTGAGGCAACAGGGGCCGCATTGGAAGGGGTGGGAGTGGCTGAACCCCAAGATAAAAGTGTGGGGAGGGAAAAAAAATCAGAACTATTATTAGTATGATGCTAATAAGATTTCCTTTTATTGGAAAAACAGATATATAGAGAAGGAGGTAGAGAGTGAAAGATCTTCTGTCCACTGGCTTACTCCCCAAAAGGACACATTGGCTAGAGTTGATCCGGAGCCAAGAGGCTCTTCTGGGCCTCCCATGTGGGTGCAGGGTCCCAAGGCCCTGGGTCGGCCTCTATTACTTTCCCAGGCCACAGGCAAGATGGATGGGAAGTAGAGCAGCTGGGACACAAACCGGTGCTCGGATGGGATTCCGTTTCATGCCAGCAAGGATTTAGCTACTAGATTAATGTGCCAGGCCCGAAGCTCAGGATTATTGAGAGAGGAGAAGAAGCATAGAGCGAGGGCATGTGAAATCCAGGCGCTTTTTGTAGGTCTCCCACGTGCAAAATGGGACCCAAACATTTGGGCCATTTTCTGCTGTTTTTCCCAGGCCATTAACATGGACCTACATAACAAGCATTTGGGATGCTACAGCAGAATTCCAGCCCTTGTTTTGGGACACTTAACATGGAGTTGGGAGGCCAGTCAGGTTTCAGATACATCCCACTCAAGCCTTGGTTGGCCTGCCTTTGTACCTGAGTGCATGTTGATCTTTGGATTGGGCCAAACTGCAAATCAGTGACTTTTCCTAACCACTGATGAAACCCACTTGCTGCCCCTAAGTTACTTAAAAACATGAAATTCTTTGCTTTGAAAACAGATTGATGCTTATTAATGCCAATCAGAACTGTTGACAAGAAAATGATGTAATGGGGACTGGCATGGTGGCATAGCAAGCTGATCCTCCATCTGCAATGCAAGTATCTTATATAGGTATGGTTTGTGTCCTGGCTGGTTTACTTCGGTACCAGAGAGAGAGGTCTTACCTCTGTTGGCTTGCTCCAGAAATGGTTGCAATAGCCAGAGCTGGTCGTGTCAAAGCCAGGAATCAGCAGGATTTCCCAGTTCTCCAATAAACATGCAGGAGCCCAATCACTTGGGTCATCTTCTGCTACTTTCTCAAGCCCATAGTAAGGAGCTAGATAAAAAATGGAGCAGCCAGGGGCCCAGAGCAGTAGCCTAGTGGTTGAAGTCCTTGCCCTGCATGCACTAGGATCCCATGTAGGCCCTGGAAAGCAGTAGAGGACAGCCCAAAGCCTTGGGACAAAATACCTGCATGGAAGACCTAGAAGAAGCCGCTGGCTCCTGGCAGAGCATCAGCTCAGCCCTGCCCAGTGGTTTCCAGAAGTTCCTGCCCTACAATGTCAAGGAGCTGCAGGTACTGCTGATATGCAACAAATCTTACTGGATGGAGATTGCTGAAAAGTTTCCTCCAAGAACAGCAAAGACATTGAGGAAAGAGCAGCCCATCTGAGTCACCAATCCCAATGAACAAAATGAATAGACACCTGAGTGCCATACTTTTATTTTTGTTTAAATTAAACCTTGGAAACTGCAAAAAAAAAAAAAAGTTGTGACTTATGTTCTTAAAAATTAAATTACCCAGGGTTGGTATTGTGGCAGAGTTAAACTGCTGCTTGTCAATGCAAATCCAGCTACTCCACATCCAGCCTGGCTCCATATTAATGAATCTGGAAAAGCAGCAGAAGAAAGCTCAAGTAAATGAGCTATCCCACAAAAATCAATAACAGGAAGAAAAAAAAATAGAACTTTGCGGGCCCAGTGTAGTAGCCTAGTGGCTAATGTCCTTGCCTTGAATGCGCTGAGATCCCATATGGCTGCCGGGGTCCCATATGGTGGCCCCACTTCCTATTCAGCTCCATGATTGTGGCCTGGGAAAGCAGTGGAGGACGGCCCAAAGCCTTGGGACCCTGCACCGGCATTGGCGACCAAGAAGCTCTTGGCTCCTGGCTTCGGACCAGCTCAGCTCCTGTGGTTGCAACCATTTGGGGAGTGATCCAGTGGAGGGAAGATCTTTCTCTTTGTGTCACCTTCTCTCTGGAAATTTGCCTTTCCAATAAATAGATAAATAAATAAATACAAAAAAGGAACATCCTTTCAAAGAAGCAGACAGTACTAACCATAAGATGCCAAGTGAATGATCTTACAACTATGATCTTACATGTATTCTGTGTCCTTCTTGAGCACAGGGATACGATTCTAGACATCTCCCCAGCTACCATGCTTAATGGACCTGCATTTATACAGTTGAATGCGGTGTCTGGAAATTGATTCTGTTTATTTTAATGATTCATTTGACAGTCATAATGACAGAGGAAAGGCGGGTTGTGGGGGAGAGAGAGAGGAAGAGAACGTTCACCTGTTGTTTCACTCCCCCCAAATGGCTACAACAGCCAGATCTGGATCCTTTATGTAGACAGTGGTGACCTGAATACGTGAGCCAGCTAACTCCTAGTTGCATTAGTACGAAGCCAGACTGGAAGTGGAGGAGCCAGTATCTTGGTTAGTAGGTAGTGTTTTAATGCCCTGGATCACAACATAGGCCACTGATTCTTTTTAATGTTGAGTGGATTAGGCAAACGGTCAAAAATACGTGTGGTTGGAACCCTAATGCTAATTACATTAAAGACATTGGAGTAGTGTCAGGCAAACTGTGACCAAAAGAATGAAACTATTAAAATGTGCAGTGAAATTTACACTGGACTTAAAAAAGATTTTATCTGGGTTCTGAACTTCAGGAAATTCAGTATCAACTAGGTGTGTTGTTTCCACATCGTATTTTCCCAGGAGGCAATGGGATAATTTATAAGCTAATGCTCTATATGCATCAGGCAAATTGGCTAGATTTATTTTTTCCTTCAGCCACATAAGAAGAAAATAATAATTCCCACAGGTGTGCTTAGAATACTTGATTTTGTTAGAGGGTCCAGAAAACACGATGGAGAGAATCGAGCTGAGTTAGCTTGTCCCAAGGCTTTCCATAACGTCTTCCCTTAATTTCCTGTATTTGGCTTTTTGCTTCCTTCCAACTCTTCCAACACACCTGTTCAGCGAGAGCTCTCTAATTAGTTGGTGTCGGCTGCGCCCACCTCGCGGCCTTTGCTCTGCCCACGCTGCCCCACGCTCTAGACCCCTCTGGGCTGAACTTCATCTGCAACAGGCGGTGCAGCCGACCTCCCGGAGCCGCCCCCACCCGGGCTCCGCCCGCGACGGGAAGGGTTGGGCCAGGGGAGGGCCTCCAGGTGAGGCGCGGTCGCCTTGGGCCTCTCACTTCCGCCCAGGTGAGGGAGGGCCGGCGGCGAGCCCTCCCGACCCAGGCTGCCACCCGCGCCTCGTCCGGACCAGGTAAAGCGTGGGACGCGCCGCGCGCCCCCGTGTCCCGTGTCCCCGCCGTGTCCCCGGCCCGTCTTCCCCGCCCCGGGCGCGCGGCTCGCCGGCTCAGGGCGCCCGGGGCGATCCGAGGGGCCGCGCTAGCTGCGAGGGGAGCCCCCGAGAGCGCCCCTGCGGCGTCGGGAGGCGAGCCGGGGCGCCGTCCTGCCGTGCCCGCTCCGGTGACCCCGCTGTGGTTCGCGCCCCGGTTCGTAGGGCCCTCGGCAGAGGCCGCCGGCGGGGGAGCCGCCCAGCCCCCGGAGGCCCGGGCGGCCTCCGATCTGGGTCCGCCGGTGTCCGGGAAGGGCTCACTTGGGTGCCCCGTCTCCGGCACCCTCGAGCTGGCGGAGCCTCTCTCTCACCGGTGACCGTGAACAGGTGGTGGCCGTCCCGGCCGGGGGTGGCCAGCGTCGGGGTCGGGCTGGGGGCGGGGCTCCTGGCCAGCAGGCTGGTGGGCACCTAGCTGAGGCTCCGGGCTGCTTGGGAACAGAGCCCCGGGGGACTTGGCTGGATTCCTGTCCAGTAAAGCAGCTGCGGACCCGTCACACCCTCCCGCGCCCCGCGGGCCGAAGCAGCCTGCTCCTGGGGGGTTTTCTCGGGGCTCTTGTGTCTGTTCCTTATAAATGGTTTGTGACCGGGTTCCCCTGTAGGGGCCTTATTTCCCTGGGTTGTTTGTCAGTGGCCATGGGTAGGCGCGCAACAAGTGCTGCTTACACTGACCAAGCAACCTTTTGGAGAACTTTGGAATAAGGTGTCAGTTTCACCGAGCTGGAAGATCCGCATTCTAGGCCGGCTGAACGCCTATTGGCTGCCGATTTATTGACACAACTGTTTGAAAAGGAGAGGGAGGCCTGGGAGTGAAAAACTCTAGTCTGTGCTTTGCTGGGTTAGAACCTGTGAGGTAACGATGTGACTTCTACCCACCGTGAGCTTGGATGCCTGTCTCGGACCCTAGAGCAGCCTTTATAAAGATCATTTCACAGCTTACATAACTAGAAGCTTAATAAATAGGGAAACGGAAAGTGCTGTGGATAAGCATTTATTAATATGAATACTGAAGAAATTTGACTTTGCTAGCTTAGACCATGGTCACATAAAATAGGTCTTCAAAAAATAGTTTTTTTTTTTTAAAGATCTGTTTATTTTATTGGAAAGTCAGATATACAGAGAGAAGAAACAGGAAGATCTGTCCCCTGATTTACTCCCCAACCGGCCACAAAGGCCAGAGCTGAGCCAATCCAAAGGCAGGAGCCAGGAGCTTCTTCCTGGTCTTCCAAGCAGGTGCAGGGTCCCAAGACTTGGGCTGTCCTTGACTGCTTTCCCAGGCCCCAAGCAGGGAGCTGGATGGGAAGTGGAGCTGCTGGGACTAGAACCGGCACCCATATGGGATCCTGGCGCATTCAAGGCAAAAACTTCCTGCGTTAGGCTACCGCTCTGGTGTGAAAATAGTTTTTTCTAAGTTGAAAAGAAATTGTGTTTGGTGCCCATCTGTGTTTAACTGTGCTTTGATAAATTCAGGTCATATATTAATATATTTTTTAAAGTATTTATTTTATTTGTATTGGGAAGTCAGATATACAAAGAGGAGGAAAGACAGAGAAGAAGAACTTCCGTTCATTGATTTACACCTTAAGCAGCACCAAAAGCTGGAGCTCTGACCATCTGAAACCAGGAACCCAGAGCATCTTCTGGGTCTCCCACATGGGTGCAGGGTCCCAAGGCTTTGGGCTGTCCTGGACTACTTTCTCAAGCCATAAGTAGGGAACTGGATGGGAAGTTGAGCTGCTGGGATTAGAACCGGCGCCCATATGTGATCCCGGCACATTCAAGGAGAGGACTTTAGCCACTAGACCACTGCTGCAGGGCCCAGTGAATCTACTTTTAGAACCGTGTGATTCTGAGACAGCTCAGCATTTCTTGGTCCCTGTGTGTGTGTGTGTGTGTGTGTGTGTGTGTGTGTGTGTGTGTGTTTATGTGTTTATGTTTATGTTTAACTGTAGTATTTAAAAATCATCCATCTGCTGGACTGGGTCTAAAATGGGTCTAAAATGGGTCTAAAGTGGGTCTAAAATGACTTGTTTTATTGAAGTTTAACAAAAATTAGGTTGTGGGAATCACAGAGGAGTTTTACTGTTTACTTAACACTTTGCTCACCTTGGTAGTAAAGTGATTTTTTTTTCTTTTACATTTTAGAAACAGGGTATTCTAGCTTAATCTTAGAAGATACAAAATAAATAGAAATTATGGTTTTTGTTTTCTTATTCAGTATTTCTGTGCAGATATAATGCTTTTTCAAAACCTCTAATTCTGGTGTGAATGGGGAGACACTGAGTCGCTGTCAGTTGCCCTTTCTTTAGTGGTGGGGTAGATAGAACGTGGCGGTGGCACCCACTTGTGTGTCTGTGTCTTTCTGTGCTTATACAACTGGACAGCACGTTGAATTTGCACACATGGGATTAGGTCCGTTAACTCTATGACCTCTGGTGAGTCAGTGAAGACTGGTTCTCTGTTTTCCTACTTGTAAATGATCGACCTCACTGAGACTGGAACAGGTTGGAAGGGAGATTTCAAGAATGTATCTTGTACATCTATGTACTGATACCCCCCCACTCTTTGTTCCTCTGCTTTTTAATGCTGATACAGCTAGAGAGAATTTTTTTAAATTTAGAAGAACTCTACTTTGTTAGCATTTTTGCTTTGATGATTTTTTTTTTAATTGGAAAGGCAGATATACAGAGAGGAGGAGAGACAGAGAGGAAGATCTTCCGTCCGATGATTCACTCCCCAAGTGAGCGCAACAGCCAATGCTATGCTGGTCGGAAGCCAGGAGCCTCTTCCAGGTCTCCTGTGCGGGTGCAGGGTCCCAAGGCTTTGGGCCATCCTCGACTACTTTCCCAGGTCACAGGCAGGGAGCTGGATGGGAAGTGGGGCTGCCGGGATTAGAACTGGTGCCCATATGGGATCCCGGGCGTGCAAGGCGAGGACCTCAACCACTGCACCACTGCGCTGGGCCCTGCTTGATAATTTTTAAGATGTAAGGTTTAGAGATGGAATGAATTGATAAATGAAGTTTTTGTTTGTTTGTTTGTTTTTCTGAAAACACTCTTTAGGGATCTCCCTGAAAACTTTGCTGTCAGTACAGTAAGCCACACACATATATGTGGTAATTAGGTTAGACTAGTTAGGATTCAAATGTGCTGGAAGTGTATCCTACATAAAAGGGAAGAGAATTAATGTAAAAAAAAGCCTAAAAAATCACAATTCAACTTCTTCTCAACTTCTTCACAATTTTTAACTTCTTTATATAGTTTAATGATAGTTTGTGTATAGTAGCTTAAATAACACAAACAGAGCATTCATAATCCAGAAATCTGGCATGTTCTACAATGTAAAACATTTGTAGTGCAAATGGAATGACGCTGCAAATGGAAAATTACATTTTTGAGTTGAGGTCAAAATGCAGTCACATTAAAAATATTGTGCAAAATTCTGTCAAGCGGTTTGTACAAGGTGTATAGGAAATGTAAATGAATTTAGTATTTGAATTTGGGCTCCATTCTCAAGGTATCTCATTAAGTATATGAAAATATTCCAAAGTCCAAAACACTTCTATTCCGAAGCATTCCAGATGTTCAACCTGTGTTAAAATCTTTTATTTTTTTTTCTTTTCCTTTTTTTATTCTTTGAGGGTAATGGAAACTGTGGTTCACCTGTTTCTGTTGTGTGACAATGGTTAGAATTCAGCAGGAGTGTGTTCTTTTTCATTTGTTTATTTAGAAGGCAGACTTAGAGGGGAAAACGGATCTTCAGACTGGCTTACTCCGGAATGGTTGCAGAGACCACAGCCATGCCCTACCTGTGCAGGAGGCAGGAACTCGGTGTGAGGTGTGGGCCCAAGCTCTAGGGCCACCTGCAGTTACTTTTCTGGGCACATTATCAGGGAGCTGGATCGGAAGTGGAGCATTGGGGTCTTGAGGTGCTGCTAATATGGGATACTGGTGTAGCAGCTGTGCCATGGTGCCACTAGAGCATATTTGCCTCCCACATATCTTTAAAAAGTAGAATTAGACAATTATGCTGGCTCTCATATAGATGGCATACATTTGGCATTAACCAGACCCAGAATGCGTGCGAACTATTGGCTGCTTTTCTCCTGGCAGTGTAACACTTGCCTAGCTGCAGTGCTACCTAGGCAGTTGCCTGTACAGCTGGGGAATATGTTTCTTCTTCAGATAATTCAGTTTACTGAAGCACATGCACTCTTGTTTACAAGTGATGATTTAAGTTACAATCCCTCTCTGTAATACCATCTCTTGTATTCATTGCCTTTGTACCTAAGGCCTTTATATCAGTACTTCCCACCCATGAGTATTGAGAACAAGGAATTAGAAACATTTTGAGCTTTGCACTTTAAAGGAAGCAATAGAAGTTTAGAGCTACCCCTGGGCCTCCATATTTGAATAACTTCCGAGATGATGACTTTATTTACTCTTAATAGCTTGTTGATTCTTCAAACTCTCTGGTTCTTTGAGCCTTGGGAAATTCCCAGTGGTGAGTTATATGGGATCTAATTGTGAGCCGCCCAATTTGCAAGTGCAGTTAGAGACAAAGTAACTGTGTTTTTCCAAAGAGATTGCCAATGATCTGAAGTATCAAGATAGATGTTTCAGATCTTGTTCAGGCTGTAGGAGCTAACTTCATTCTTATTAGCTCTTGTGAGTCCAGGGACTTTAGTTTTAATTCTTTATCTGAGGAGGTTAATAATCTTTTCGTTTTTTTAACCAGAAATTTCAATTGAATTAAATTTTTATTTCTTACATCAACCTTTTTCAAATCTTCCATTAAATGGTGATGGCTAAGGACATGGGTTTTTTTTTTTTTTTAAAGATTTATTTTTATTATTTTTTTTTTATTGGAAAGGCAGATATACAGAGAGGAGAGACAGAGAGGAAGATCTTCCCTCCGATGATTCACTC